GAGGACGCTGGAATGCCGTCGTGGGTGGATCTAGCGGAGCGGGTGTTCGATGTGCAATCCGCCCGCTGGGACAACAGCAGCTGCGAAGGTGGTCTCCGCTGGCAGATTTGGCCTTACCAAGTCGGATACACAATGAAGAACTCTATGAGCAATGGGGGGTTGTTCCAACTCGCGGCGCGGTTGGCTCGGTATACCAATAACCAGACCTATGTCGATTGGGCAAACACGATCTGGGACTGGAGTACCCTGATTCTAGTGAATCAGGAAAGTTGGAACGTCGCTGATAGTACTGATGCGGCAAACGGTTGTACAAACCTCGGTAACAATCAGTGGTCGTATAACTACGCAGTGTATCTGAGTGGCGCGGCATATATGTACAACTACGTAAGTAGTTATGCACGCTCTGGGTATAGAACAGAGGACTAACAAGAGATAGACAAACGGAGAGACCACGCAATGGAAGACAGCCTTGGATGGGTTGTTGAACAGTACCTTAGAAACATTCTTCCCCGCTAAATTTGGCGGTGAGATCATGTCTGAGGTGCTTTGTGAACCCGCGAACGTCTGTAACGACAACGAGATAACTTTTAAGGGTCTTCTGGCAGAAAGTCTCACCTTCACCAGCATGCTTGCGCCATATACATCATTCGACATCCTGCCGCGCCTACAAGGCTCGGCTGTTGGCGCTGCGAAGCAATGCAGTGGCGGAAGTAGTAACACAACTTGTGGACAGCACTGGTACAAATCAAGCTGGGATGGCACGGAGGGCATTGAGGAGGAAATGAGCGCAACGAGCATCTTCACGTCCAACCTGGTGGCGTATAAGCACCTGTCTCCGGCTACGAAGACTACGGCGACAAATGTGACCTCCTCAGCTGGTACGGATACTGGAAATGGAACGACTACTGCCAGCACGGCAGCGGGAAGCAACAGTGTTGTCCCGACAAACGGTGCCAATTCTCTGCCTTGCGGACCCTTTGGTGTTGCTGTTGCTATTGTCGCGGGCGCTTTTTTCATTGCTTAAGTGCTTAAGCCTAGCTTACATAGCTAGACTCGATTACCCGAATCCAGCGCAGTCAGAGCACTTTTATCGGACTTGATGGCTTGTATGGGTGGAAATCTTTTATATGCCTTTTACTATATTGTGATAATATATCTGTTGTCGCTTCTTGACCCATCCTCTGAAGCCGATCAACGATCATTCTCACAAAGCGGAACAGAATTTCGGTCATGAGTGTTCGTCCAGCTTTACAGCCCCGAACGAAGTATCTAGCGTCCGTAGTAGGGTCCCCGCAAGAGCAGGATCTAGGCAGCATTCTAGGCAACATACCCCTATTTACTGATACCATTGGCTTGTCAATTGACCTTGTTTATTTCCTTCTCGCCCCTCATCCTCAATGAAACAGCTAAGAAGCACACTAGGATAAGTCTAATTCGCCCGGCGAATAAGAATTCATCCTTTCTACCCAACACGAGCCCGATCCACTCTCGGTCTTTGCAATAATCGCAAAACCCGCTTTAAGAGCTTTTCAACCACCCATCATCGTCACTATCTCAGCGAACTAACCCGCGGACACAACTAAACAGGGACACAATGAGAATCATCCAGAAACAACCAGAAATAACCCTATACCGCGGCTTCCCCGGCACGGGGATCTACACATGGTCACCCTTCGTCACGAAACTTGAAGTCCGCCTCCGGTTTAGAGGACTATCTTATCGCACTGAAAGTGGGTCTGTTCGCGCGGCGCCACGGGGAAAAGTGCCTTATGTTACTATTTGCGATGAAGACAAATCTGGGCCGGATCAGGCTCGGACAATGTCTGATTCGGATCTCATCATACAGGATCTCGTCAATGACGATATCCTCCCAGACCTAAATGGCGACTTGAGTGTTCAGGACAAGGTTCTTGACTCGGGGATTAGAGCGTTGTTGGAAGACAAACTATACTTTTTGCAGGTATTATTAATACCGTCCACCCCGTTTGTACATCTTGTTTGATTGACGAGAAATAGGGTTATGAAAAATGGATTGACAATTACTATTCCATGCGAGAACATATTCTAGCCTCACTGCCGTATCCTGTCCGGATAATCGTGGGACATCTCATCTACCGGAAACAGTATCAGACGTTGCATGGGCAAGGGACATTACGCTATTCGGCAGAAGAACGGAGCGCATTCAAGAAACAGATATGGGAGGATATTAACGCCTTATTAGAGGACTCCAGGTTGCAGAGTGATCGCAGGGGACCATATTGGGTGCTTGGGGGTCAGCATCCGACTGAGGCTGATGCTACGCTGTTTGGGTTCATTGTTGGGGCTTTGATCTGTACCGCGTAAGATCCCTGTTTGGGGGAGTAGTACGTCTTGGGTACTAATTATATGCAGGTGTCCTGAAACGCAGGCGATCGTGAGAGGACTACCAGTTCTGGTAGATTATGCGCAGAGAATTCATGATCGGTACTTTCCGGATTATGAGCTTTGGGCGGAGGAATAGTAGTTTCAACCTCGTTCTTAATTGGCATCCTTAATTGGAAGTTGTGTCAACACATGCCATATGTTACTAAATGCGTTGGGGACAAGTGGGTTGGTCAGCCATAACAGGAAAACATGTGTGTGATCTAGATCATTCCGGAAACACCGATACGGTGAAAATAACCCGCGCAGTGCATTAGGTAGATAACCTGCTAGACGCCTTGAACAGTAAGGTGCCACGAAAAGACTGCGAGCTTATAACCTATCTTAAGATGATAATACTCCATAAGGATCACTACATCATCAACACCTACCACTTTCTAGACCCTTCCACAAGACATAGACCCAGAGCCAAGAGCCTCTAGATAAGCTCTAGATAAGCATTGCCTTGAAACAAGGCCATGTAGATCCAACCATCTTATCAACCAGACGCCGGAAGGGACCACTCCGCGGACCCGCCTCGGGCCGACGTCATCCTGAAGTCAACCCGATTCATCGCCGAGCTCTGAAGATGCCGGTCCTACTGTTCTCGGAACATTGTGTACCGGTCTAGAAATAGAGTAATCCAGGAAACTTGGCTATGACTGGTTGGGAGCAAACCCGCGGCTGATTAACTAGCCTGGTTGTCAGATGTGGGTATGCTTCATGAGGGCTAAGCTGTAGACCGAAGGTATACGTAAGAGGAGGTGATTGTGTTACTTATCTGTGCTATATAAAACCTATCGAGAAGGCTCATGATTTTCGCTTGAACACCATATTCTTGTTCAACGTTAGTTAGAAGATCATATTGCTAGTTGTCGAAATGAAGGAACCACAGGGCGCTCCCGCATCGGGCATCCACTTCCCGCAGGGTATACTACTCTCCTCGTCACATGTTCTACAGAGCCCTGGACTGACACTGCAGCGTAGGAGTATCGGTAAAAGTGACAGAAGAGGTTCAAAAGATCGCGGATATGTTCCGTGTGGATGGAGACACGCTTCGACGTATCACCGACCATTTTGTCAAGGAGATGGAGAAGGGTTTGTATACAGCCCTGACCACATAATGTAGTAAAGGCTCTGACATTGCCACTATTCAGGACTTGGAAACTCCGACAGCGATATTGTACGCTTTTTTCTCTCCCTCAGTCAATCTGATAGACTGACGCATGCCAGCCAATGAATGTAACCTGGGTTACCAAATCCCCAACCGGCCACGAAACAGGCCAATACTTGACCGTGGACATGGGCGGAACCAATCTCCGCGTCTGCAACGTCACTCTCACAGAAGATAAAGGCGGATACAAGATTACACAGAGCAAGTTCAAGTTACCTGGTGGCTTGAAGACAGGAAATGCGCAGGAGCTATGGGCGTACATTGCAGACCGCGTGGCAGACTTTCTGCGCGAGCGTGAATTGACTCCCCGCCCGGTCGAGAAACTACCACTTGCGTTTACCTTTTCCTATCCGGTGACTCAAGATAATATTCGACATGGTGTCTTGCAACGTTGGACAAAAGGATGGGATGTATCTGGAGTAGAGGGTGAGGATGTTGTTGCACAGTTGGAAGAGGCGTTTGAGGAGAGGGTAAGCTCTTCTATACCATCTAGATATCACGGTACTGACTTGTGGTTCATCGACAGAACGTCCCTGTGCACATCGTCGCCCTAGTGAATGACACGACTGGAACGCTTATCGCATCGGCATATAAAGACCCTGAGATCAAGATCGGTAGCATCTTTGGCACCGGATGCAACTCAGCATACATGGAAAAGATCGGGCGCGTGCCGAAGATCGCAGGGCACCATCTCCCCACCGACCAATACGTCGCAGTCAACACCGAGTATGGCGCCTTTGACAACAGCCACCGGGTTCTTCCGCGATGCCAATTCGACCTCGAGATTGACCGTGCTTCTCCGCGACCGGGTCAACAGACATACGAGAAGATGGTGGCTGGGCTGTACGTGGGAGAGATAGTGAGGCTTATTATTGTTCATTTACATGAGAAAGCTGGCTACCTGGAGAACATGGACCTCGGTCGTCTGAGACATATTCACGCTATGGAATCGTCGTGTGTGTCGAGGATGGAAGAGGATGGGTCAGCGGAGGATAGCGCGATGGCGGAGACACGAAAATTCCTCAAAGAGGAATTTGGCATTGAGCCAACATGCGAAGAACTCCGTGTCTGTTGTCGTCTTGGGGAAATTGTCTGCACGCGTGCGGCCAGGTTGTATGCGTGCGGCATTGCGGCTATCTGTAAGAAGGAGGGCATTCGCCAAGGCCGTGTTGGTGTGGATGGGTCTACTTTTGAGAAGCTTTTCCGGTTCAAGGAGCGGGCGGCGGCTGCTTTACGAGAGATCCTCGAGTGGCCTGACGGTTCAGAGGACTTGATTACCTTTGTGCCTGCAGAGGATGGGTCGGGAATTGGTGCAGCTTTGATTGCGGCGTTGTCTGGGAGAGAGTGAACAGCAGGAGGGGTTGACATGGTCTAATGAATAACGATATACGAAGCACATCTATTATATGGAGACTGTTTATTCTTAGTCCGTTAGTATAATGATAAAGACATCGGTACCTCGATCTATAAAGCTATGTGAAGAATTGATCATTGACGGGAAGACACCTGAAACGCGTCACTCATGACCTTTTCTTCCTCAATGGCGTGAAGCACCTTATACCCCACTGCAACACTTGACATTGGATCCCTCCCTGCATACCGTACTTTCTTATCTGTATGATGCTTCGTCTTAGACAGAATAACCTCGAACCTGGGCATAATATGACCCCAAGCGCCACCATTAAGCGTTTCTTCTTGGCACCAAACAACATCTGTTGCGTTCGCGTAGTTATCCAAATTTTGTCTAACTTGCTCCCACGGAAACGGATGAAGTTCCTCAATCCGTGTAATAGCCGTGTCTTTGAGGCCATGTGTTTCGCGATACTTGTAGAGCGCCGCATACACTTGGCCGGAGCAGAAGATGACACGCTTGATGTCCTCCGGCTTATTGATAGTAATACCGTGCTGGGTTTCGGAGAGCAACGGTTGGAAGTAGGGAGTCTCTATGAACTGTTCAATATCCGAACGTGCAAGGGGGTGGCGCAGTAGGGACTTGGAAAAGAGTATGATAAGAGCTACATTTGTTAGCAGGGGTATGAGATATCGGAGAGGAAAACATACGCTTTCTGAAGTCCCGGTGAACTTGCCGACGCAAAACGTGGAAGTAGTTTGCAGGACTTGTCATGCACACAATCTGTATGTTAGTATCCTGATGCTGGCGCTGGAGCTGCTTTGGTGTTGGGAAATGCCTCGAATCTTCGTCGCCCAGTTGCAAGAATCGCTCCAAGCGGGCTGAAGTATGTTCCGGTCCTTGGCCGTCGTAGCCATGAGGCAACGAAAGAACCACTCCAGAGCGCTGGAGCCACTTCTTCTCAGAAGATGCAATATAGTTATCAATGATAACTTGAGCGTTGTTTGCAAAGTCGCCGAACTGGGCTTCCCACATCACGAGAGCATTTGGATCTGCCAATGAGTATCCAAACTCAAAACCCATTGCTGCAGTCTCACTCAAGGACGAATTGGTTATGGTGAATAAGCTCTGGCCTGGGTTGATGGTGCTTAAGGGTGTGTATGTTTTGTTGGTTCGTTGGTCGTGGAGAACGGCATGACGCTGAGAAAAGGTGCCTCGTTCGACATCCTGTCCGGCTACTCGAACCCCTGTACCGTCACGGAGAAGCGTTCCGAATGCTAGAGCTTCGGCAGTAGCCCAGTCAATATCTTTTCCAGTCGTCACTGTTTGTTGCCGGCGAGAAAGAATTCTTTCTAGATTCTTATGTAGCTCGAAGCCTTGCGGGACCTCCGCTCCAAGCTTCTTAGACACGGCCTCGATGGATTCGTGACTGACTGCAGTCACCTTCGGTGGTAGTGTTTCCATATTCGACTCTGTTGGCGCCTTCAATCCTTTCCACGAATCGATTAGCCACTCTTTTGGATCAGGCTTCTGCTCTTTCCTCTTGCCGAAACATTCCAGAAGTTCTGCCCAGGCTTTATCTTTCATCCTCTGGACTTCCTCTCTCATGACGACGCCTTTTGAGATCATGCTAGCCTCATACCCATCGAGAATATTCTTCTTCTCCGCGATGCGCTCATACATCGTTGGCTGGGTGAATGAGGCCTGGTCCATCTCGTTATGCCCATTGCGCCGATAGCAAACGATGTCGACGAGGAAATCTTTATTGAATGTTGCCCGGAAATCTGCAGCGAGTATACCAGCAAGAACCACTGCCTCGACATCGTCACCATTGACATGAATAACTGGTGCGTCCAAGATTTTCGCCACGTCTGTGCAATATGGCGACGACCTCGCCTGCCAGGCATCGGTCGTGAACCCAACCTGATTGTTCACGATGAATCTTAACGTTCCACCAATCTCGTACCCTTTCAATGCAGCCAGTCCCAGCGTCTCATACACTGTTCCTTGGCCAGCAAAAGCCGCGTCGGTATGTACATTCAACATCATCGTCTTCTCACTATCGCCATTCTTCCCATCTTGAATCGCCCTCGTCTTCCCCATAACAACCGGGTTCACCGATTCGACATGCGACGGCTGCGGGGCCATATTCATATACACTTTCTTCCCGGAAGCAGTCACCCTCTCACCACTTCCCCCATAGTGATACTTAACATCTCCGGGTATAACCCAAGCTGAAGTCTCCTTGGAATCGAAATCCCGCAACATGGACGCGCCATCTTTTCCAACAATATTATATAGCGCATTCATGCGCCCGCGATGGCCCACGCCCATCTCAATATGCTCAACACCATTCTCAGCCGATCGGTCTACGGCCGCCTCGAACGCAGGGATGTAGCTTTCGATTCCATCGAGCCCAAATCGCTTCTCATTGGGAAACTTCGTAGCGAGGAACTTCTCCCAAGCCGTAGCGCGTACTAAGCCATCCAAGATACGTTTCTTCTCCTCATTCGAGAATATATGGCGTTCTGGCCCCTCGATCCGCCTCCGGATCCATTCTACCTGCTCCTGGTCCGAAATGTGCATGTACTCGACACCCATACTTCCACAGTAGGCTTCCTCGCAGATGGCGATGACCTCCCGCAAAGTCATGCTCTTCGTCGCGGTGAAATCCTGCGCACCTAACCCAACAGGGATGATCATATCTAGATCCTCAGGTCCGAGGCCATAATGCGACAGGGACAACTCCTTCTTCCGGACGTTTCCTTCGTTGAGCATTCCTAACGGGTCGATGTTGGCGTGTTCGTGGCCCCAGCGCTGATATGCCTGTATTAAGTGGATGGCTTTGAGCTGCTTCACTGTCTCCAGTTGCGCGTGTGTAGCATTTGTTGGTTTGGGTATCGTAGAAGTTGCAGATACTAGTTCTGGCGGAGGGATGAAAGCCTGCTCAATTGCGACATGTCCGTTCTCAACGTTGTGGAAGTATGCTTGCCAGGAGACATGTACGGAGGTTGGGTCAGCTTTCCATGATGTGTACATGGTGTCGATGTAGGTCGAGGCGGTGCCTTGGAGGAAGCTGTCATTGTTGTGCTCGCTCTGTTCAGTGTTAGGGTCTTTGGTATTCACAAAATATATAGAGACGGCATACCAATTTGTCTACTGAGCGCTGTGTCGTTGCTTGAATGGCATATAGCCGTGGGTGGAGAGGGTGACGGGAAGAGTGGTGGACTTGCCGTAGGCTAAGTATTCGAATTCGTGGAACGAACATATCGTCTCTTTTGTAACGTTACTAAGTAGTGATGAGTAAGCGCCTTGTTGAGTGTCTGGATAAAGAGTATGATTGGCTGCTGTTGGTGCTGTCACTATTTATATATTTGCTGAGTTGTTGCAGCAACAGATCGGAGTGTGAGGACACCACCAGTGCAAATAAGTTGTAAACTAAAACTGAATACAAAAGGAGACCCCGCATCTTAAGTAAAGCTCGGTAAGCTTTCGGTAGTATCTCCTCTGAAGATTGATACATGCATATCGGTATGAAGGCTTCTCGCCGACGGATGTTCCATGCGGTCGGCAACTTAATGAGATGCCGTTCCGCGGCACATCCGATCTATGTCCGAAAAGTATGTTGATGCCTCGAAATGCAGGCCACAAAAAGTATATTCAAGTCGCTTCAGTTTGAATCACATTGGAGGCAGAAGACAAGGTTTCATAGATATGTACAGGGTGTTTTTATCTCAGAAGCAAAGAAAAAGCACTAGCAGAGAACAATTGTCTACACAATCTACTCAATCAGCATGCTCGCCGGATCTTCGAGATACTTCTTCACCAAGGTCAGGAAAGTAACCGCTTCGCGACCATCCACCAGCCGATGATCGTATGTCAGAGCAGTATACATCATCTGGAAAATGTGAATGAGAATGCTAGAATACCACGCATTATGAGTTGAGCTTACCGGCCGGATTTCGACCTGTCCATTGACAGCAACAGGCCTTGCTTGAATTCCATAGATACCCAGCACCGCCGTCTGCGGCACATTGATGATTGGCGTACCAAACAGCGATCCCCAAATGCCACTGTTGCTGATGGTGAACGAACCTCCGGACAAGTCGTCCATAGTTAATTTGCCATCGCGTGCCTGTACCAGTTAGTGGGTTATACCCTCAAAACAACGACGATCCTAAGCATACCTTCTTTCCCAACTCAGCGATGCCCTTCTCAATCCCCACCACACTCAAACTCTCCATATTCCTCAATACCGGCGTAACCAGCCCCTTCGGTGTCGCAACAGCAACACTGAGATCGATATAATCTCTGAACACAATAGTATCATCATTCTCGATAGAGGCATTGATTGCCGGGATCTCCTTCAAGGCAAGCGCAGACGCACGGGCAACTGGACCCATGAATCCAAGCTTGACACCATGTTTCTGGAGTACATCGTCTTTGTTCTGTGCCCGGAATTCCATCACCTTGGACATGTCGACCTCATTGAAGGTAGTAAGGAAAGCGGCGGTGTTTTGGGATTGCTTGAGACGCTCTGCGGTGCGGAGACGCATGCGGGTCATTTTCTCCTGCATCAAATTTAGTATCTCATCATTGAAAGCGAAGTTGGCAAAGTTTAATTACCCTTCTCTCTGCGCGACTGCCCTTGTAAGCTGACACGGGTCCTTGAGCGCCGGCGACGGGTGCAGCAGGCTTCGATGATGCAGTGGGCGCAGTAGATTCCTTCTTAGGCTCGTGTTTTGCCTCTGGTTGGGACATAGGGGACGATGCCGGCTGATCTTCTTTTGATTCCTTAGCAGCCTCTAAAGCAGGTTGAACCTCTGCAGATTGCGACGCATCGCGCTTCTCCAGAGATAATTCAATAACCGCCTGTCCGACCGTCACCGTATCGCCCTCGTTCACAAGTAGTTTCGCAATTGTACCGCTCTCAGACGCATTTATAGCGACGTCGATTTTATCCGTCTCTATGGAAGCGATTTCCTCATCTTGCTCTACGTAATCCCCCACCTGCTTGTGAAATGTAGTAAGGACACCCTCGGAGATAGATTCCGCCATGGCGGGGACGTTAATGACTCGTGTTTCTGCGGTACGAAGGGCCGATACACTGAAAGCGCGCGGTTGCTGCGACGACTGAAGGGGTGTCCATGACTTCTGTGATGCGGCGGTTGTGCGCGATGTAATTCGAAGCGCGTTGTATGTATGAATAGAGTGGACTGTAGGTGTGGTGCTGATAGCGCGTGGAATGCGGGCAATGGGGCCCCGGAGTCGGGGTGTTGTTCGCGATAACATTGTGGGTGATTGACGATGCGACAAGGTGAGAAATTCTAGACCTCTGAGTAGAGGAGCCTCAGGAGATTTAGAACGAGGGTGTTCCTCGGCTTGTGGTTGTGATGCCGCGTGGCCCGGCGGGAATACCCTCGGTTGCCGACCCGCCGGGATTTCGGCTACTTAATGCGGCTATATGGCAGAAGCTTACACTACGTTGTTATCGAGCAAACTTGCCTCTGCTTGTCGTTCATCATGGGTCGTCTGCGTATAGTAACAGCTATTCTTGGTATCTATAGTTGAGTGATACGATGACATTCAATGCTCAATATAGGAACTAACTGTCTGGTTCTTGCACCTCATATAGTCTATCATATCATCTATGTCTGAAAAGGGCTGTCAAGATAGCATCCGTAACGTAGGCATGGGTACCATATACCTGGCTACATTAGGTGAGTTACATAGCAAATTTGGAAACAATGTACTTCCCAATCTATTAGTCTTTAGGCAAATCAACTATGGTGTAACAGGGATGAAGATTGGAGATATTATTCGCAGATCAGCCATGCAGGGGTAAGCCGTATAGCATGATCTGCTTGCTCTCAAGCAGGTATCTTATCTTGTAAAGAACAGGTATTCAACATTATTTATATCTTTAGAGTAAGCATACATACAGCAATCGAGAGCCACAACGAAACACATATTACCCAGATGACTGGAGATCGGGAGAAAACAGAAGCGAAGTCATCAATCAATCCAGAGCCAAACCGCTTTTTGCACACCAAGATGCCAGAGGCAGAGATCACTTTCTATACCATGCGGCGTAAAAGGGTCATCTCGGTTGTAAGACCAGGTCCAAAACTACACGCAACAACATTCGGTGACTCCAGCTTCAGTTCCCGCACCTTATCCAACACAGCGAGGACTGCAACACTGGACGTGTTTCCCCTTGTCCTGTAGATCTCATTACTAGCCGCCAATGCATCATCTGGCAAGTTAAGCGCATCCTGTGCACCCTGGATAACAGCCTTGCCACCTGGGTGGAGGGCCCAATGAAAGTCGGTCGGCGAAGCGGATGACATCCCGTTGGATTGTATCAAAGACTGGAAGGGGGCTTTTATGGATGCAACTGCAAGCTTGGGAATGTTCTTCGAGATCGAGGCCAAAAATCCATGGGTGCTGACTTTGTACGACATCTCATCGAGTGTTCCAGGTGCAACACCGGTCCGTTGGTCAACGACTGCGAATCGCTTGGGAGTTTTGTCGCTCATCCCTAACGGGTTGCAAAGGACAAGAGCCGCCGCGCCGTCGCTAAACAGGGCTGGGGCGACTCCAGTAATTCCAGATTGTGAGGAAGCGTGCAGCTCCGCCCGGATTTGAATGCTACAGAGCTCGCATGCCACGACAAGGATTCTCGCCGCTTGATTCCGATAAGTGGCTGCACTTGCTATTGTGGAGGCAACCCGGAGAGCTGCACAACCGCCCCCACAGCCAATGCCGCTTAATAGGATTCGTTCTGTTGATGGAGAGAGTCCTAATTCCCGAGCGACGAATTGATCAAAACCTGGGGCTCCACCGTTCGTAACTGTGACGGACACGATATGCGTGATGGAGGACGGTTCGATGTTGCTTTCACGGAGGGCTTTGAGAGCGGCTTTCGTAGAAAGTTCAACACTGTATTTCCGAAACTCTGCGTCTACATCTTCTGCAGTGGGTGGAGAGGCCCCAAGCCAGCGAGGGTCGTCCCACAAGTCAACGACAGGTCGTGTTTCGATGCCTGTCTTGGTATTGATTTTGAGCAAGGCTTGTAACCTGATTTGGTCAGACAGGGCTCGTCATTTAAGGTGTGATATTTACGTACCATGGCGGGTTATCGGAGTAGATCTTCGAGGCGTATTCATTCAGCTCTTCTGGCACAATCAGTCGGGACGGCCACTCGGTACCCATGCCCGTGATCATTGCCTCATCCCCTTTGAGTGGTACCTCTTGTTTTTGGGGTTGCCCACCAGAAGGTGACGCTGAGAGAGTATTACCCATTTTGCACTCAAAATGTGAAATAAACTAATAAAATGTGCACCACACGCGGGAAGGTCCAGTGATTATTCAACGGAATTGTAGTATGCGAAGAGTGTTTGATGAAGTAAGAATATCTCTTGATTCAACCCATATGGTTGAGTGTAGAGGGGCTTATATAGTAGCGAGCAAGCCATTGCAGAGGATATGAAGGGGACAGCTTGAGCCTTCTGGTAGACCATAAGCTCAGCAACTTGCAGCGGTCCACCAAACCCACCATACAAGGGACATTTGCCTCCCATGCACATTGATCAAGGAAGCAGGCAGCAAGCGTATGACACCTGATGATTGAGTTTGGTTACCGACGAAGTACCGGAGTAAGATCTGTAAGTTGGGTTTCCGGGTCACTGGTAGCATTGTAGGTGCGGGCCCAATTAGGCCAGCAAAATGATGCTGTCACATTTCCTGCAAATCCTATCCGGCCATGCAAACCTTGGACCACATCATGGCCTAACGCAATTCTGAGGTCGAGCTCAGACATCAGTTCATTTTTATTTTTCTATGGTATTTAGTGGTTATCAACATAACCTACTTCTTTCATTTCTCTGTTCTTATCATTTACAGTAGCCTGTTCGTAGGTTCGTGCAAATTCATGAATGCCAAGGTCGAGGTCAATGCTGCTCGAAGAACCGTTATTTCACGCCTGTACTTTCCATCACGAATAAGCTCACCGCATTTACGAATTAGGCTCAAGTGGAGCTGACGTGGTACCATATCTTTAATTAATCTGCACGGTCACCTTTGCGGTACCGATATGTAGTATGCAGGGACCTATAATCCAAGTTGTCTGCAGGTTTACCTGATCGGCAGGTATGATGGGTATTATTTTCTGTTTATAAACTTGATTAGGGTGTACACACTTACGGAATGGGTATGCCTAGTACTTACGTGTTATACGAATTTGGCTTCCAGAAACGGATAGCCTGGCCCGGGTGCATACTTGGACGTGGTTCATGCATAGGTTCAGTCTGCGTTGACTCTCACTCTTTAGATATGTCTCATTAACTTTACCTTGTAAGGCGAATGCCATTCGTCACCACTTTTACCAATCGATACGGGGTAACTAATCTACAGATGATATCCAGATTCGTCAGTTAACGAGAAGTGAATAGCAATAGTAATCTACATCTTCGATCTTGACTTTATTTCCTGGCATGATCCGTTGAGGGATTCGTTTGTACGCTAGTACCGGCGGGAAACGAATCCTGGGTATAGCCCCAATTATTGATTCCCTACGAACTCTCACGGGAGACCCAACAGCGTAATTTGATGGGTTCCTTGCATTTGGAGAGAAGCGTCGCATTTGCAGACTGTCAAATGAACAAGGGGAGGCAGTAAGTAGGTACGTTAAAAGACCGATTCGAGGTTTTCAATTTAGTAACTGCGACGGTAAGCGGAAGTGGTACGACATTGGGAAGTGTTATAGTAATTTCGTAAATATAAGTGAAACATACAGAGAAGCATACGTAGTCTGTAATGCGAGTGCCCATGTATTCTTGTACGGTGGTTTGAGTGTGAAACGTTATCATAACCGATCTCACTGAGTAGGGGTGAAGCTGTCTTCGGTGTTGCGCAAAGAAACAAGGCCATTCTCGGTCGAGTAACTCTAAACAAATAGCCATACGAAGCTTACTTAGATTAATTCAAAAGAGCAGCAGGGAGTGCCGAAGCTCACTCCGTATCAGCTGGGACATCCTGAATGAGAATGGGCGGGCGGATATATTTCTTGACCAGTACCTTCTGGTGTGAGGTATGTCTGCAAATGATGCTATTGTACACCATTAGTAACAGTAGTTATCCCTAAACGAGACCAGCAAGCCTGCAGTTCTCTGTCCACTATGATCTCACCCGCATCATATTGATTGCCAAGCATAGAAACTCATGTACGCTATAGAAGCCTTTTCGTCCAGACACACGACAGCCCCGACCGGACGTATTGCTGTCCGACAGTGAAAGCAACTGCAATGAGGAACAGCAGCAGGCTTCCATGCTGGTTGGAAGTTATAGCTGCAGCATGACCAGCCCTGCAAGTTGGAGTTGCATTGAGGATGCAATGGAGAACATTTGTCGGGCTATTGAGCCGCCTGCAGCGTTTTACTATGAAGCGAAGCTTTCATGCACATACCCTATGCGGTGTGGGACCGACAGCGTACATAACGACATATCACGAACAATCTAGAAAACTAGACTTTGTCGTCTATGAGGTGGGCTTTCTTCGGGTGCTGGCGGCGACGGTAAGAGATCATGCGACTGCATCAGATCTTGCCAGGAAGTGTCTAGATACAATTTTTGTTCTGTCGGTGAGTAACTTATTCTAGAGCAATACTACCACCGGTACAACTAAAAAGCATTGCCGAGTAATCGCTGTAACTCGCGAATCAAGGCCGCAAACAGGATAGTGGAAGAGACGAAATACCAGATGGATACCGCCGAAGAATGGCAACCTGTCAAGCTGGGCTTGATAGGAGGTTTCAAAGTTTACTGTGTATATTTGAGCAGCCATATGAGTATGCAACATGCGATGATGGAGGATGATAATTCAATTGATAACCTGTCTCCTAGCAAGCGATATTTGGTCATAGTCAGAAACAGGCACGCAGTCTAAAGGTATACCAGCTCTCTCATCGTATGGTGTTGGATGTAGATGTTGAGATAAATGACGCGATCAATCATGAGTGAACCAAACGGAATTGGATGATGGGGAATTTCTATTGTACTTCTCAGGCCTGAAGTGAAATTAGTATGTAGTGCCAGACGAAGCTTCTCTAACCTCTTGTACATAGCAGTCCGCGTTATATATAATTTGTTATGCTTGAATCCGGCCCGGAGTCAGAAACAACACGAATTGGGAGCTTCAATATATACTCTCTCTTTCTCTCTGCTTTGGGCCATGTCAAAACAATCACCAGAAGAGAGGAATCTACTCCTAGGATTACGTGTACCAGTGAGATATTACCGCCTCGTAGTACGTTGTCCCAAGACGGCGAAAGCCATGCAACGGAATAGAAAGAACATCCTTTAAGAAAGCATGGATATTAAGAGAGATTAAGAATAGGGTATAAAGACAATGATTTGTTTCTGTGCAAATGGTAGGGGAGGGGTCACATGAGGAGGCACTAGATAGGACTGTCTACTGACTAACTGCTCATGAAGTTGACGAATATTTTGAAGCTCGAAGAGATCAGTCTTCTGCTGAGCGCTCTGACATGTTGGCTTCATATTAAATAATATAAATGCGTCGTATAACAACCAGCTTCTATGGCTCAGTTGGTAGAGCGCATGACTAGTAATCATGAGGTCCGCGGTTCGAATCCGCGTGGAAGCATTTTTTGGCTTTTTCGTTTTTGTCAATCTTGTCTACCCGGGGTTAGGCACAACCAACAATTATCTACAATTCATCCACCTTCCTTATTCTTCTTTTTGAGAAAGAAGAACAGAAATTCAACTAATTCTATGCTCGTTAATTAGTCTACAACATGCAGGAACTTTCAAGAAAGCCAGTACCGTTGGCAGCCACACTCAAGGAACTTTGAACATCTAAAGTATATATATCCGGCACAGGCACCCTCATCAACTCACTCCGAACCAGGCACTCAAATATCCCCAACCCAGTTTCAGTAGCACAATTAAACCTACCGCCATTCAAGCCCCCAACTCTGTACCCATCCAAGAAACATGTAGATCACCACCTTTCAATGACTCAATCACAGTCCCAACACCAGTAGCCACAGACCATTATGCGCAGAGTTCCCAAACTGTACATACATCCTTGCTTTCTCAACATAATCACCACCCACAAGTAGTTCCCAAACCGATTCGTTGCAGAAGTCTATTCTCAAGGATACTACTTGTCACAGATCTCTCAGTCGGCAATGGCGTTTAGCTACCGTCTAAGTTCATAACTAGTATACTACGATACTTCCTCCTCCCTCCTCTCCCCTAGAGCCCGTAACTAGTATAGTACACCACATACCAGACCTACTACCACCCTCAATCCAATATCAAACAAGCAAACTCGTTCATATTATACAATGTCCCCACTCCCAACCCCAACCCTCACCCCTATCACCAAATCCTCCCTCATCGGCGCCTGGACTCTCATCTCCTACATCGCCGAGCCCCCAACCCCCAGGACAATGACGCTCCCAACCACTACTACCCCATGGGCCCGGACGCCCGCGGTACCCTCGTCTACACTCCAGATGATCAGGTGACCGTGAGCGTATTGCCGAAAGTTGCCAAGAATGTGTAGGAGAATTCTAATGATGGGGTCATGTACGCGGGCCGGTACTGGATTGAATACAGCAGTAGCGATGAAGATGATGCTGGTAATGGGGATGGGGATGAGAGGCAGCAGCAGCAGCACGGTCGCGTCCCGGTTGTGCATCATGAGGTCGACATGGCGTCTTCGGTGGAGTTCGAGGGGTCGCAGAAGCGGGAGGCTGTGATTTCTCCCGACGGGAGGTTGAGGTTGTCTGGGTCGGGGTTGTTGGAGGTGGGGATGGTGAGTTTGTTCTCTTCCTTTGGGGGTGATGGTTGACTGTTATTTGCTGATAGTGTTTGGGGTGGTGGTAGGAGCAGATGATGAAGCCGGTGTTGGTGTGGGAGAGGGTTAGTCGGGCTTGATGCTGATGATGTGGTATTGACGGGGGGAGGGAGTGAATGAGCGTGGTTGTTAGATGCTAGAGTACTGGTATACTATATCAGACAGGTTGGAGATAAAGATCAGTCTATTTAATACATTCACAAATATCTCATTAGAATACATCTCTAGCCAAGAGTGAAAAAGCGCGCCATCTGGCGTCGCGTCAAGATTCGTAAGGGGTATGTTTTAAACTACCATATATATGCCCGAAGAATGATTTGAAAAGGAAAAGAAAGATGCCAAAGAAAGAGGAGTGGAATAGATAGCCACGAAAAATCCGAAGATCAACCCCAGGTACCTCCACCTCCACCACGACCCTGCCGTCTCTGTGCGGATAGACGCCAATCATCCTCGCCGGCGAAGCGGTTGTGGAGAGGCTGGATCCGCTCGGCCTTCTTACGCTTCGACAGACGATCGGTGGGTGCGACCTTGAAGAAAGTCGGGGCGGCCTCAACGAGCCACTTGGGCTCGATGGAGGTTGTGCAGTGCATGTACTCCTTCGTTGTAAGAACCAGTGTGTGGTAGATGACATGCTCGGATGGTTTGCCAAACAGTGCGGAACTGGGATGCATGTAGACCGGCGTGCCTTCGACAAGAGTCTTGTATCCTTCCTGCGGGTCCTTGCGAGCTGCATTACGGAAGAATCCCGTACAAAGTGCCTGGCGTACTTTGAGGGTGTTCCTTCCGCAGGAGACGATCTTGTGGTGGTAGCGATCCATAATGCCAAGCAGCTGCTGACGGACGTCCTGCGCACGGCGGATCTGACGGGCCTGGATGAAGTTCTCGAAGCACCAGGCATTGTTGAAGTTGGAGTGTTTCCATCCATTGTAGACGTTGAGAAGAGTCAAGTGGTCACCGTGGGGATCGTGGAACTTGGCCTTCTTTTGATCTGCCTGCTGCTGCTTCTCCTTGGGACGATAAAAGACCGACTGAATGGAAAGCATGGCCACAATGCTCAGCATTTCCTCTGAGCATCCCATGTCGACCGATGCGATGAGAACCTTGGCGAGGGCCGGCTCCATGGGGAAGTCTGCCATCTTTCTACCCAAGCGAGTCAAGAGACCCTCGTCATCTAGAGCCGACAGTGCATACAGCTCCTCCAGAGCAGTAAGCATAGTGTTCGTTGGCGGAGGGTCCATGAAGTCGAAGTGCAGCAAATCGTTGATGCCCATCGCCTTGAGCATGAGAATAGTATGCGAAAGGTTCTGGCGTTGAATTTCGGGAATCGTGGTTGGCAACATTTCCGACTGGTACGCGGCTTCAGTGTACAACCGGAAACATTTTCCGGGACCAGTTCTGCCTGCACGACCAGCACGTTGCTTGGCCTGCGCTTGCGAGATGGGCGTGACTACTAAAGAGTCCATACCCAGTTTGGGATCGTAGGCGTTCTGTTTGACGAAACCAGGATCGATGACGTAGTAGATGTTGTCGATAGTGATAGATGTCTCAGCAATGTTCGTAGCGATGACAACCTTTCTACCTCCTGGCGGGGCAGGCTCAAAAATTCTACTCTGCATTTCACTCGGAAGAGCAGAGTAGACGGGTAGAATGACCAACTCCGGTACTGTTGACCCTAGAGCCTTCATCCGTTCGTATAGAATCTCGCAGGCAGTATCAATTTCCTCTTGACCCGTCAAGAAGAGCAGAATATCACCCGAGGGCTCTGTCAGGTGAATCTGCATAACTGTAATGAGAGCGGCATCAAGATAGTCGGACTCGGGCTCCTTCGAGTACATGATCTCAACAGGGAATGTACGACCGGGAATGGAGAAGATAGGGCAACCGTTGAAGTACTCAGAGAACTTCTCAGCATCCAGCGTAGCCGAAGTAACAATAAGTCTGAGGTCTGGTCTCCGCTTGATGGTCTTTTTGAGCAATCCAAAGAGAACATCGGTGGCAATAGTTCGTTCGTGAGCCTCGTCAAGCATGATGACAGAATACCTTTTCAAATCCGGGTCCAGGAGTACTTCTCTTTGAAGCATACCATCAGTCATGTACTTGATCTTGGTGTCAGGACTTGTGCAATCTTCGAAACGAATCGTGTATCCGACTTCCGCGCCGAGTTTACAGCCGACTTCTTCCGCCACACGTTTGGCAACAGACATGGCTGCTACACGACGAGGCTGCGTACAACCGATAATACCGTTGTTTGCATAACCTCCCTCGGCCAGGTACTGCGTCAGCTGCGTCGTCTTTCCGGACCCAGTATCTCCGACAACAATCAGCAGTTGGTTATCGCGTACAGCATCGAGAAGTTGCTTGCGGAACTTGTAGACCGGCAGACTTTCACGCTGCTGTTTGATGGACATGCTGGTCCGCTTTCCGAAGGACTGGTTCTTGCCCATGGTGACCCGTTTCCACTCGGGGACCGAGTCATCCGGCTTGGACTGCTGAGTACTGCGCAGATCAGCAGCAAACTTCCGCTCTTCAGGCGCAACCATAGGATCCTGCCATTGCGCGTTAAGGTCGACTGCCGCCGCTTGCTCAGCTGCTTTGTCCTGAGCTTCCTGTTGCCTGATGTCTCGTCGCTCCTTGGCCAGATTTGTTCCTGCCATAGCAGCCCGGTTCATAGAGCCATCGGGGGCCTTCACAACTCTGATCGGAGAGAGTTCCAGAGACATCTTGGTCTGACCAGCCAGGAAGGGCGGTTCCTCGTCCTTGACTTCAATGTCGACATCCTCCTCTTCCTCAAACGTGCCTTCACCCGTCAAGGTGGCATGGTATTCCTCATCGATGTCAGGATAGTCTGCTGCGGAGACAGCGCCAGATGCAATCAACTGCTTGATCTCCCATCTCTCAGGGGAGGTCATGCGCTTCCTATTCTTCATAGGCTTTCCATCCGACTCTTCAATAACCGGAACTTCCGAACTCAGGTTACCATATCTATCCTTGCCAGTCATGCCGTCCAGACGCTCCATATTTGCGCCAGATGCCAGACGTCGTTGAGGGATCAAATCGAGACCAGTAACCTGATCCACCTCCTTCATTGACAACCCGATTCGAGAGCCTTGAATGCTAACCACCTTGACCTTGACCGGCTGGCCGCGAGACACCAAATCGGAAGGATGATTAACACGCGCTCCCTCCTGCATGGCCGAAACATGTACCAAGCCATCCACCTTGCCCTTCACACCAAGCAAGTTCACGAAAGCGCCAAAGTCCTTCACTCCCGTGACACGACCATCGTAGACCTTGTATAGCACCGGTTGATCATCCAGTTCCACAGGCGGCGGCTTCCGGAAGTACTCGCCATCCTCATCGCGATCCCGGCGACTCCTCCGCTCACTGTGTCCATTGCGATAATCATCCCTGCTGCTGTATTTGCTCTTCGACCGGCCAAACTCATCCACCTCATCATCACCACCCCTCTTGCTGTATCGAGGGCTCTGCGATCGCGACCGAGACCGGTATCTATCATGGCGTCTGCGTCCACGTCGGTGATCATCGTAATCGGGGCTTCTGCTGCGCTTCCTAGTACTGCCGCGGTCATTCCGTGACGACGACGACTGCGTTGCTGGGGCAGGTTTATCCTGACGCGCTTTGCCCGCCAATCCCTCCAGCATAGCAAACGTATCATCCATAGCATCAGCCTTCGCATCGCCCTCATCGACATTCTCCTCATCCCACTGCTGAACCTTATCCGGCACAGCCAATCCCTTAAACACACGCGCTTTCTTCTCCAGCGCATCCAAAACATCCATATCATCATCGCCGCCCGAGTTATTCGTCGTTTCCGGCTTCTTCGACTTATACTTCGGATGCATCGTAAGCACCAGACGATCGATACTCTCCAGCAAACTCCGAGGGAACTCCGCGCCCATCTCCTCCATGCTCTTGCTGAAATCCACGAATGAGCCACATTTTAGGTGCTGGTCGATCACAAATTCTGCTAACGTCTTGTCGTTGACGCCGAGATGGTTTTGGATTTCACTCGTTATCCGCGACACGAGCGAAAAGAGCTCCAGCGACTGGAGGTCGTCCATGGCGGATGGAGGGAATTGTGATTGTTTGTCGACCCTAGAGAAATGAGGTGGTATAGATGAATGACTGGAGTAATGATTAGAGGATGTCGCGAGAGAGTGCAAAACACTCCTCTGGTCGCAAAGTGAGGACTGCGTCTTCTCTCCGCGGTTCTGGAACCGGCAAAGCTCACTGGCGCGGAAAATCGTTGTGGCGTTTTCGGGAAATCCGGCACCGATAAGATAAGCAGCTCTACTTATCTACTCTCAAGTGTGCAATTATGTAGATATATTGCAAGTAGTAATATTTCTTCATAAACTTGTGTAATTACTCTCTTCTTGTACCGTGTATAATGTGCTTGGTGGATAGGACGTCGTGGCGTCTTCTGGAGTTGAGTTTGAGCTATGTACATGATCATCTCAACAAATCAAACTATATTACATGTGTATATGGTATCTATGCGGCACGCGCCTGGGGAGCTTCTCCAGATTCTTCAGACTGCTCTTGTAGCTGCTCTTCCATCTGCTCTTCGTCAGCAGACAGATCAACAGCGGCAGTCTCATCTTCGGTACCGTATGAGTCAACATCTGCATCGGCGAGCAGCCGTTTCTGCTCCTGAATCTGCTTCTGCAGCGCGATTTGTCGACGGAGAGAGGCATCCTTTCTGAGCTTTTTGTTGGCCGAGAATTCAGTCAACGCTCTGACCATCCTCTCCTCCACCAGCTGCTTGACATGGGATGCCAACGTTCTATCCGTGAAAACTCCGCCACACCGGTAACTGAGCCACAGATACAAGATAACCGATTTGTGCAAGGTCTCCAGCTCGTTAAGGTACTCCTTGTTACCGGACACCGGCTCTTCCAAGATCTCAAGGTTGAGCGCCTGGATGTCTAGCAGACGACCATCGGAATGCTCTGCGACGCATTTGATAAAAGCGATGGCAGCATCGCGGCCGGCGATGAGCCTGGTGTGCATAGGTGAGGCCATGAATGTAAGCTGGTCTGCCGTCCGCAATCCATCGACAGTATCAATGACCTCGGCGTTCTCCAGCTGGTTGCGAGGGTCACACAGGAAAAACAGCGGGTGGACCTGGGAGACCACCATCAAGCGTTTGATCAAGTATTCTAGCGGAACATTGCTCGGGAAGTACGCCGCAACTTTCTGGTAGACTGAGTCGGGAGGAAGGATACCGGCCGACACGAGCGGTGGGGGTTCGCTATCCATTGCCTCGCGAATATAAGGTAAATCAATATCTTCCAAGGAAGTCACATAGCCGACGTTGGTGTCTTCCTCGGAGCCGCTATCCTGCTGCTGTTGCGCGGCGGACCGATACCGTCCAGCGCGTCCACCGATCTGCTTGATTTCAGGCACGCTAAGTCTCTGGAGACCTCCAGGAACCCGTTTGATCAACGTTTCGAAAATGATGCGCTTGCAGCTCCTGCTACAGTTAGACCCGATACAGGGAGAAGTATATAGAAGCAACTTACAAGTTCAGACCCATACCGATGGCGTCACTAGCAACGAGAAAGTCGTAGTCATTGTCGGGGTCGTTGAACAGACTGGCTTGCTGGGTCCGAATCTCAGCCGGCAGACTTCCATAGACGATGGCTGCCCGCTTTCCAGTATTCTTTTCGATGTCTGCTTTCAATGCATGGATACCGACACGAGAGAATGAAACCAAGCAATCTCCCTTTTGGAGATTCTTCAGGTCACCTTTGAGACTGCGGTTCTGAACCTTTAGCGGGTTCAGTCGCTCATACCGATGGATCTCGAGCTTGTCGCCAGTCAAGGCAGCCAATTCTTTGATCAAAGGCACAGCTCTGACTTCACCGCAGAGATGCAGTTCTGTGGCACGCGCACCGAGCACGGCACGAGTCCAAGCCCACCCACGGTGAGGGTCTGCGATCATTTGGATCTCGTCAACAACACCGACCTCATATTGATCTCCCAAGCTGACCATCTCAACGGTGTTGCTGACAATTCTGGAGGGCTTTCCATCTTCCGGAATCTTGACATCATCACCAGTGATGAGACTGCAGGAGGTTCCATTCGCTTGGAAGCGATGGAAAACCTCCTGAGCGAGCAACCGCAAGGGGCCAGCGTAAAAGCCGCGCTTGGATGCTTCCAAACGCTTCAGCGCGTGATACGTCTTTCCCGAATTCGTTGGTCCCACGTGCAGATGAATCGTTCGTTGCAAAGCGCGCGCTTGCGGATACCACTCGGCCGGGCGTCGCAAATCCGCCACCTTCTTCTGTGCTTCGAGATTGGGAGCTGAGTATCTCGACGTGACATCCTCTGCGTACATGTGAAACTCCAGCTCGTTGATTAAACCCCGAACACCATTTTGGAGGTAAGATCTATGCAGCGCATCCTTGATGTGGCGTAATGGACCAACGCTTTTTCGCTCGTCTAGTTTACATGCGTTCAGCATGGTTCGTTCAAACCGGGCCCAATTAGCCAAAGCTGGGTCATCTTTATCTGTAAGATTCTGCCGGTATATGCTCAAAGCGTGTGTTACAACGCCCGCGAAATCTTTTGCTGCAAGCGTTTGTCGGGTGTTCCGTTTCGAAGCGAAGGATGGGGGAGCAGATCTCTTGGAAGACTACACGTAGATCAAAAGTCAGCCATTTGAAATCAAAGATAATAGACAAGTGGTGGGGTAGGGTGATGGATATGTACCGTAGCTCCCTCATTTTTCTTTTCCAGGCTTTGTAGATGGCGCTGTTTCTTGGAAGGCCTTACGGATCTCTGCAGCACCGGAGATGTCACAAATGTCCTGACGGGACGTGACACCGACTGGAAGGTGCAGAAGAGGCAATAGTTGCCTCTGCGACTCCATGACTGCATCCCACCGAGCTGTGCCGGGAGCAATGTCGAATCGAATGATTGCCGTTACTGTCAAGCTGCGGAGCGGGTTCTGCGGAGATCGGAAATGTAGTTTAACTGCAGGAGGCGAGAGAGGAAAAAACGAGGGACTGATTTGGGAGATCCAAAAGGAACCGAAACAAGTAACCCCTGACCAGTCAGAGACCAATCACCGCATCGTCCTGCAACCGCGCGCGAAGGAGGGAATAGTTGTTGAAACCCGAGGATACTATCTGGATGGCAATCATTCGCCATCGGCTTTTTCTCGCGGCCTGAGTGCCTGAGTGCCTCATTGCCTGCAGCTGGCGATCGCCGCAGACTAACCGGAACAGGAAGGGGAGGGGTCACACCGCCTGGCGGATCGGGAGATTAGACAGGAAGAATGATGCTTTTGACCCGCTGGGGAGAAAGAGCAGAAAGAGGGTCTCTTCTTGTCTCAGTCTCCAGTCTCGGGGATATCCTGAGTCCCGACTTACGTTTCCAAAAGATAGCCTGCCCGCATCGCTGGTGTCCATCACGGCTGCCCCTGAGTATTGTTCTCCATTACTTCGCCCCTCCATTGCTGGCTCTGGCTGTGCCTTATCTTCCGGTTCCCTCCCTACCGCTCCCCCGTCATTCCCCTCCCCAGCAATCGTGAAGTCTAGTGTCTATGCCCCCGTGAGGGCTGCCGGTCAGCCACAATGAGTTCCTCAATCCTCAACATCCAGCGTGATCGTGAGTTTTCCCTGCCTTTTACATAAAGACCATTTATTCATTAACTAATTACTCGCTAGTTATTTTGAATACGATCCGTTATGCGGCGGGTAATGAGGTGCGATTGCTTCCCCTCCCCTTCTCCTTACCGTGGATTTGGCCCCCGCTTCGTTTCACCCCGCCGCAGAACTGACATTCTGTCTACAGTGGAAGGTCTTGGTGGTGGACGAGACCAGTCGCAAGCTAATCGACAATGCGGTCAGTGAGGATGATATTCTCAATCTCAATGTTACCAGTAAGTTCCCCTCTGTGTATTCCTCCTCGTCCCGGTGCGGCGCTAATGGCCTCCCGCAAGATGTTGAGCAGATCGAGCATCGGCGCTCCCCCAATCCTACGATGGATGCGCTGTATATCCTCTCGCCCCTCCCACACATTGTCGACTGTATTATGGCGGACTTTGAGAGGAAGAGATACCGGAAAGCGTGGTTGGTTTGGACATCATGTCGGGCACCTGCTTCCTCAACGGCCGCTTGGTGCTGACGTCGCTCGCAGTTCTCGATCCGCAACAGCGCGCTAGATTGGACCGTTCCCAGATTGCTCGCGACCAGATCGCCAATGTTCAGATTATGAATGCCGACTATTTCCCCAGGGAATCGCGCCTGATTACCTTCCGAGACCCGTGGAGCTTTCCGGTGTTGTTCCACCCTGGTTGTAATCACTTGATCCGCGCACACTTGGAGGGCTTGGCGCAGAAGGTGAGCTAGAATACCTGTGTAGATGAGCTGGTACTGACTGGATAGGTTGTGTCGCTCTGTGCGAGCTTAGGAGAGTACCCAGTGATCCGGTACTACCGCCCCCGGGCACCAACACACGAGGCCAGCGTACTGTGCTCACACCTGGCGCGGTTCATTCAGAACGAGCTGGATCAGTTTGCGCAATTCCAGCGCGACTTTCCGCCCCCGTCTCCCAGACCGCGCGGAGTGCTGTTGATCGTTGATCGGTCCATGGACCTGGTCGCGCCCTTGCTCCATGAGTTTACATATCAGTCCATGGTGCACGATCTGCTTCCGATCAGCGATGGCGACAAGGTTACTTACAAGACTGTCATCAATGAGGGAAGCCACAACGAGGAAGTCAAGGATATGGAGATCAACGAAGAAGACAGTGTTTGGGTGGAGTATCGCCACATGCATATGAAGGACGTGCTCGGCAAGCTAGGTGAAGACTTTGCCAAGTTCCGAGCTGCCAACCCTCAGTTTGCGGAAGAGTGAGTGACAGCTGTTGATGGTCTTTCTTTCCTTACTAACGGCGCTGCAGCAATGATAAAGCGAACGTGAACACTATCAAGGACATGCTGGCGGGTCTCACAGAGTTCCAAAAGGGAAGAGATGCTTATACACTGCACCTTAACATGGCGCAGGAGTGTATGAGTTACTTCCAGAAACACAAGCTCATCGAAGTAAGCTCGGTTGAACAATGCTTCGCCACCGGCATGGACGAGAACTACAAGAAGGCAAAGAACCTGGCTTCCCAGCTGGTGCAATTGCTAGACGACGATGCGATCAAGCAGCCAGAGCGACTGAGGTTGTTGCTGCTTTACATTATCTACCGGGGAGGCATCCTCGCGGGTGATATCCGGAAGCTCTTGGCACACGCGCAACTTGCACCGCAGGACGGTGAAATTGTAGCCAACCTCGATCTACTTGGAGCCCGTGTGGAGAAGCCTCTGAAGGACGATAAGCCACCCGTGCAGCCGCTGTTCACCAGGAAGCCGCCGTCTGGGCCCATCGACGAAGAGGAAAGTCTCTCGCGCTACGACCTGAACCTCAAGTTGATCTTGGAGGAGCTGGTGCGCGGCACGCTGGACCCCGGCGTCTTCCCGTTCACGCGGCCACACACGGATGCCGACTCGCCGGGACAACAAGAGAGTCTGTCCCAGGCGTCGCTGCGCAGTGCCAAACCGACGTGGGCACGGACACGGTCTACTGGCGAGCAGCCGAAACAGCGGATCATCGTGTTCATGGCAGGTGGTGCTACATATGGAGAGGCACGCACATGCTACGAGATCTCGCAGTCGTGCGGCAAGGACGTGTTCCTGGCCACATCGCACATGCTGTCTCCCGGATTGTTCCTGCGCCAGGTGGGCGATCTCAGTGTAGACCGACGCCGGCTCGACATTCCCGCCGAACGGCCCAAGCCCACAGCGCCGGCGCATCTCTTCGAGCGGGAAGCTCCACCGCCACCGGCACAGCCCGTGAAGAAGCCAGTTCCGGTGAATCTGAACCCGATGGCACCGACATCCGCGCTGGCGGCGATGTCACTGGGACCGAACGGCAAAGCGACGAACGGAGCAGCGCCGCCAGAGAAAGAGAAGGATAAGAAGGAGAAGAAAGAGAAGAAGGAAAAGAAGCACCGCTTCTTCCGGTAGCCTTGGCCATTCTTTCAACTGAACCAGCCTCGTTCCGCAGCACACCTACTGCGGACCTTAATACTAGCCTCTACTATCTTCTGTGTATGTAGTGACTATGTATGTACCATGCAGACCAGCAGAACCCTAATACTTATTCGAACTCCTTGGTATATACCAAACCAACCCCGCCCCCCCCCCCCCCGAAACCAATGATAAAATAAAAAAAAAAGAAAACAACCTACTTCCCATGAAGATACCTCAACACATCCTCATCCTGGAAAAACAACTCCCGTAACCTCTCCCCCTTCTTCCTCTCCTCCAACTGTCCCTTCCTCGCCTCCTTCGCATTCAACACCTTCTTCTTCTGCACCCTCCCCCTCCCACGTTTATCTCCACTCTTATCCTTAACCTCAGGAACAACAGCCCCCAACCCCACCGTATCCTCCTTCACCTTTCCCTTCACCGGCTCCCGTATTCCCTCTCTTCCTTGGGGTCCCAATCCCACCCGCGAATCCGGATCCCAGCCGTATGCAGCGAGATACCGCAGTCCAGGCCGCGTGCGATCAAGATGAGACGGCGGATGCGAATGCGGGAGACTCAGTTGATGCGGGAGTGTAGCTTCATGTATATGCCTCCTCCTTTCTCCTCCTTCTCCTATTCCTCTTTCTGATGTTCCATGTGTAGGCGTAGTGTAGGGAAGGTTACACACGGGACAAATCTCAACATCTTCTCCTCCTTCTTCCTTCTGCTCATTATGTGGCCGTGAACCCGAACTCGGTTCTGATTCCGGTGTAAGTTGTGATCGTGTAGGAGGAGTAGCTGGATTCGACTTCGACTTCGACGACAGAACAATCGAGAGGTATTTACTCGCTATACTCTGCCCGGTTGACGTAGAAGGTGTTGCTGGCTCAGAGGATGATACCCGTGTGGTAGAGAGATGTTGCTGATGTTGTTCGGAGGAGCGCACGAACGGGACGCGCTTGCGACGGATCCCTGCGCCGAAGACTCGTTGGTCTTGCAGGGGGAGGAAGTATTCGTCTTCATCTTCTTCATTGTATGTTGCTCTGTTGTTGGGTGGCATTGTCCATACCCTTTTCTTTTTTCTTTTTCTTTGTAGGATAGTGAGTGAGAAGTAAGGACGTTAGGGAGGATAATGGCAGCTCGAAGTGGCGGGAGATCGGCCGCTAAGATATGTACCGTAAGTACCTCCGACGGAGTGTCTGGACATATCTGTCTCCTCCTCCGTCTGTCTCCCTTTCACCATACAACAAACACATCCCCCCTCCGACAAAATGCCCATCCCAATCATCACAACAGCAATAACAGAAGGCACAAACTCCGTCCCACACCTATGGAGCATATTAAAACTCCTCCCCTGGGCGGTCGTCCTGGCGGCCCTGAAATATTATTTCGGGGGTGCTAGAAATACCTCTGAGCGGTTGATGCATTCGAAAGTCGTTATGATTACTGTATATCCCTCCCCTCCCCTATCCCCATCCCCAATTCTCCATCAATACTAATATATTCCCTTGGGGATTGCATAGGGCGGCACATCCGGCATCGGCGCGCAAGTAACATCCGCGCTCGCCTCCCGGGGCGCCCAAATCATCCTCCTCACACAACACCCAGCAACCGACATCTTCCTCTCCGAATACATCGAGGACCTCCGGCGGAGCACCAACAACCAACTAATCTACGCCGAGCAAGTCGATCTCTCCTCCTTACACTCCATCCGCACCTTCGCCACGAAATGGATCGATAATGTCCCGCCACGACGCCTGGACATGGTGATTCTCTGCGGGAATGCAGCGCCGCCCGTATCCCAGAAACGGAAGCTGACCGTGGACGGCATCGACGAGGAGTGGATGGTGAATTACCTGGCGAATTTCCATCTGTTGAGTATACTTTCGCCGGCGTTGAGGGCGCAGCCGGCGCATCGGGATGTGAGGGTCGTGTTTACGACGTGCTCAAGTTATATTGGCGCGAAGTGGGATTTGAGGAAGGTGGAGGAGGCTGCTGCGGTTACTGCTGCGCAGGGGGATAATGGGGGTAATGGGGATGGAAGGAGGGTAGTGATGAAGAATGGGAAGTTACAGCGGGAGAAGGCCAAGCCCAAGGCTAAAAAGGCTACGAAAGGAGTCAGTTTATACGGACTCAGCAAGCTCTCGCTGATGGTGTTTGCGCAATCGTTCCAGAAACATCTCAATGCGTTCAAGAGGCCGGATAACCAGCCGTGCAGTGCGCGGGTGATTATGGTGGATCCGGGGTTTAGTCGGACGCCTGGGATGAGGAGGTGGATGACCGGGGGATCGCTGTGGGGACTGTTGGTATATCTGGTGACGTGGCCGGTGTGGTGGTTGGTGTTGAAGTCGCCGCAGCAGGGGGCGCAGAGTGTGTTGTATGCGGCGATGGAGGCGGAGTATGGACGTGGGGAAGGGGGGTGGATGGTTAAGGAGTGTAAGGAGGTGGATTTGGCGAGGAAGGAGATCAAGGATGAGGAGACCGGGAAGATGTTGTGGGAGTTTAGTGAGAAGTTGATTGAGGTTAAGGAGAGGGAGTCGGCGGTGCGGAGGGCGTTGGCGAATAAGGAGAAGGAGGTGGCAGAGCAGATGGAGAAGAATAAGGCGTCGGGGTCGTCGTCTGGGGCGAAGGAACAGACGCCGGGGTCGAGGAGGAGTCGGAAGGGTAAATAGGTGTATACTAAGTAGTTTTATAGATAAGGAAGGGTTTGGGTGTACATTATCACATTGATCTGTATTGATAGAGTTACGTGATTCAGGTCTATCCTATCGCTGCATATTGCATGGCGAAATCACAGTTACATCAACATCACATCAGGCTCTGCTCTCTAGATACAACAAGGAAAAAGGAAATTCGTCATCCAATTAGCAAGTCCAATCGTGTCTCTATCGATTTTCCTGGCAAGAAAAAGAAAAAATTCTAAGCATATGCGGAGTCATTATTTATTTCTGCAGCTTCTCCAGCAGCTCGGCCGGGGGCTGTTGGCGGTAACCCTGGGGGTTGTTGCGGGTCCACAGCCAGAGGTCCTCGCAGGCCTGCTCGAGGGTGCGCTCGGCCTTCCAGCCCAGCTCGTTGTTGGCGCGCGTGGGGTTGGAGGTCAGGTTGAGCACGTCACCGGCACGGCGGGGAGCAACCTCGTAGGGGAGGTCACGGCCCACGGCCGCCGAGAAGGCACGGATCATCTCGTAGACAGTGCTGCCCTTGCCGGTACCCAAGTTCCAGGCACGGACTCCGGGGTTGTTGGCGCGGAGGTAGTTCAGGGCCTTCAAGTGACCATCTGCCAGGTCGAGGATGTGGATGTAGTCGCGGATGGCGGTTCCGTCGTGGGAGGCGTAGTCTGGCCAGTTAGTTAGATGCTAAATTCGAAGGATATTTCTGCAAAAACTTACCATCTCCGAAGACGAGGAGCTTCTCGCGCTTGCCGGTGGCCACCTGGGCAAGAAGGGGAAGCAGGTTGTAGGGGACACCCTGGGGGTCCTCACCCATGATACCAGAGGGGTGAGCACCGGCGGGGTTGAAGTAGCGGAGCAGAGCACCGTTCCACTTCTGGGCCTCGGCCTCGTTACCGGCCTTGATGGCGTTGTTGCGCTGAGCGTTGATGACGTCGGTGATGGCGGTCTCGACAGCGAACTTGGTGTTACCGTAGGGGTTGGTGGGGCCCAGAGGGCACTCCTCGGGGATGGGGATCATGTTGGGGAAGCGAGTGGCATCACCGTAGACGGTGGCGGAAGAGGAGAAGACGATGTTGGTGACATTGTGGCGGACCATGGAGCGCAGGAGGCAGATGGTGCCGTAGACGTTGACGTGGTAGTAGTCCAGAGGCTTCTCACCGGACTCACCGACGGCCTAGATACCGGTCAGCCAGGAAGCTCAATTGACGCGCGAGATATGCAGAGAGGTAGATCGACGCAGAGGCAGATAACGGTATAGAAAAGAGGAAAGTAAGGGAAGCGCACCTTCAGAGCAGCAAAGTGGATGACGCTGTCAATGTCGGGGTGGGCCTCGAAGACACGGTCGAAGCCAGCCTCGTCGGTGACATCGAGCTGAGCGAACTCGGCCTTCTTGCCGCTGATCAACTCAATGCGCTTGAGAGCCTCAGCGGAGGAGTTGTAGAGGTTGTCAGCGACGACGACCTTGTAGCCAGCCTCGAGGAGAGCGAGGGTGGTGAAAGAGCCAATGTAGCCCGTTCCACTGTTTGGGGGAGAATTGCGGGGTCAGCGGGTGTGATGGAGGGACAAAGGCATTGATGGGAAGCTTACCCGGTGACAAGAACTGATCCAGCAGGCATGATGATGGTGTATGATTAGGATAAAGGATGAAAGGGAAAGATAGAGTAGAAGGTAGAGAGGAAGAGAGAGAGAGAGAGGATGAAGAGGGAATTAGAAAGAAGATGAAACGGAAAGGTAAGATGGCGCAAACGGAGATTTGGGGGGGGGGAAGAAAGTCGGGCGGCGGGGACGGGATATTTAAGGGGCGGCCGCAATTGGTGCTTCCAATGGAGTCACAAGTACTTACTCCGTAATATTCAGGTACAGAGTGAACAAGTTACTAGGTACTGTCTCTTCTTGCCTAATTGCCTCTTCTACTGCCTTACTCTGTCTGCCTTCCTCACTCTTCTTCTCTAATAACCCCCTTTTGCCATATTCTCATATTACCCTAATCCCACCTGCTGATCAACCAAGACAGTCTACGTAAACGGCCCTCAACCACGGGACGATCCATATTAATTCTTACCCCCCCCCGCCATTATTATCCCACATCCCACCACCACCACATCACACCATTTACTTTGCTCATATGTACCTTGTATTCTGTATCTCTATGTATCAGTATCACAGCTGCAGATGCATGCATATATGCAGCAATGCTGCATAACAATCGGAGTAAAGTTCAGGCCAAAATAAAAGAAAAAAAGAGTACTGACTTACGGAGTTTTTCTAACCCTCCAGACCAGATCCAGCCATGTGCATACTGCATATCCATAATAATAATACCTTGTTTGATCACCATCTTATTCATTTACAGTACTCCTTCCAATCGGCTAATTAAGTATCATACAGAATAGATAAGATGAATAGATAGACAAGAAACTGAAACATACACACGGCCCGAGACAAGTCCGTCCGTCACGGCTAATTGACTTGATTGCACCACCACCAGATACTATCTACACAAGCCCTGTTTCTTGCAAAGTACCATACTAATACAACAATACAACAATAGTATTATTATGATGGCACCATGCTATTATTATTCTCTTATTCTTTCATCTTCCCTTTTAACCAGCACCACCACCAGCACCAGCCAGGTCCAGGAACCAGACTCGGCAGTGGATCCAGTCCCAACTGAAGTTCCCACATCACACCTGGTCCTCACTACTCACTACCTTACAAAGTACTAGTGGACCGCTTCCACCCGATCCCAAGGGTCCAATCAATCATGGGTGGGCTGTCACGCTGCCATTTGCCTCTTTCTCTCTCTCTTCCTACCTTGTAATAAATCCCATGGTTTGTTAAGGGGCGAAATAATATTATGGAATTAAGGAAACGATCTGCGAGTGTCAGATTGCTATACCTAATACCTACCAACCTATCTACTTGAGTCTGCTGGCGATGACGATGACGATGATGATGATGATGATGATGATGATGATGATGATCAGGGTAAATGAGGGAGGATCCGTGTGCTGATGAGTTATTATTATTATGTCTGGAACATTTTCAGGGGTAGATAGATGCAATGCAGAGCGTATATTCATTCCCCAGTTACTTATGAAGTAATTACTGCTCATGCCGAACAGGTGGTCTTTGTTGGTCTGGTCTGGTCTGGTCTGGTCCGAGTCCCCACTGGTTTGTTTGCTTGCTTGCTTGCTAATAGCTTTCCAGGTAGGATGCGTAGTATGTTCCTGTGTAGTATGAAGTGCACTTGAAGGAATAGTATACAGTTAATTAGTTAAAGTATTTGCACAACGTAGTCTACCGAATGTGTCTGAATGATCCCTCACTCCAACGAGCAAACTAGTGGAGGTTGGAATGAAGTAGTGGCCTGATGAACCATAAATCGCAGGTGACAACTATCCGCATGCGGTTGTGTGGGGTAGTGGTTATCCCTTCGGATTTTGAGTACTTTCTTGTGCTTCGGAAGTTCCGACAACCCCGGTTCGAACCCGGGCACGACCTGATTAATTTGTTGCTTCATATTCTTTTTTTTGTCTACTTTGCTTGCATCATACATAGCATGCATGCTATGTAAGATGGGTATGGTGCTGTTGCTCTGCTACTGTAGATGTAAGATATTTACTAGAGCAGTGTTTAATTGAGGTGATGTCTTGACATCAATTTCTAGGATGATGTACTATATAAATAAATACTGCAGTAAAGTCACTTGTCTGTCAATTGGCGTTTATCCTGATTTTGATCATTTTTAATTCATTCTTTGCTACTCCACCATATCCGTCACCTTTGCATACACCCGCACCAACCCCTTCTCCGTACCAGGAACAATCCTATCGCGTGTGATGCGTATAATCTCCGTGCCGGTGCTCTCCACATCAAAGTTGAACCGACGCATCACATGCGCAATAGTCAGGTAGAGCTCAATGTATGCCAGACTGTTGAACTCGTTAGTAGCAGACACTGCAACAGCGGTAGGGGCAGAACTGACTTCATCCCAATGCAAGCTCGACTCCCCCTCATAAATGATACAATGTATCGTGTTAGATTAACCCCTTCCTCGGCAGCCTTGATCCAGCGCTCCGGATTGAATTTGTCTGGCTCGGGAAAGAGGGAGGGGTCGCGATGGACAAACCAGGTTGAAGTGCTCATTGGTGTCTATCAAGTATTGTTAGCTTGTGATGGGTGTTGAAGGCAGAGTGACAGAAAACATACCCCCGGTGGAAGCACATAGTCCTTGTACTTTAGTGTTTCAGTTGGTGCCACGCGGGGCAGCCGCATAATCAGCCCATAGGATAATCGCAGAGACTCATTAACAACGGCCGTCTAGGCGTGAAAGTCAGTTAGGATGAAGAATCAGCATTGCAGAATCACGACATACCAAATATGGCAGCTTCTCCAGCTCCGGCCAGGTCGCGGTACTGGTAGGCGTGGGCAGGACCTGCTTCAGTTCACTCCGCAGCTTATCTCGTATGCTTTTGTCTCGCGACACGTAGTAGGTCATAATCATCAAGGTACTGGCGGTCGTTTCTGTGCCTGCACCAAGAAGCGTGAACACCTCGTCCTCAATGCGACGCTGGCTTCTTTCCGCGACTGGTAAGCTGGGGTCCGTCAACCTCTTGAAGATGGTCCGGTCGTCCTTCCCCGATGCCTTGGAGGCATCCTGCGTGTTTTCGGATATCGTGCTCAGAATGGAACCCTGGAACTGGAGCATACCGGCCTTGCCGGGGAGACATAGGGCCATCAGATGCAGCGGAATCTTGCGCATGGTTTCCGGCACAAAAGGAAAGAAGCGGTTGAAGTGGGCAAGTCCAGTATTTTCTTCGTTTCCTCCGTGAACGTCGCTGCGGAAGTCCTTGTCCTCGATGAATCCCCAGCGCTTTCCATAGCAGTAATAGGTGATTACATCTGAAGTCAGCGCGGCAAATGCATCGCTCAGATTAACTACACTCTGATCGCGATAGAACCCCTCGAAGCGCCCCATAAGCTTCCCCACCCGCTCCTCGATGAAGGGAGATATGGCAAGGACGGACCGCTTGGAAAAGAAATCATTGAGGATGTTGCGTCGGAAGCGGTGATGTTCGTGGCCGATCGTACCGATCATGGAGTAGGGGAGCGCAAATGCGCCGTAGGCCAGAGGGTCCCTTTCGCGTTTGCGAGTGCTGGAGGCATAGATCTCATCATAGAAGGAGGGGTCGCTGATATGGACTTCACGGGGGTTGATGCGAACAATTGGACCTGAGGGAGAGGTTAGCAGAGCTTCGGAGGGTTAGTTTTCTCCGTACCTACCATATTGCTGATGCATTTGCTCGATCTGGAACAGAAACCTCCCATGGCAAATAACATCGTAGTAGAACTCATATAGATGCGTAACCGCTGTAAGCTTAGGCCCGGGGATTCCAGACAAGGGGTGGAAATAGAGGCGATAGATAGATCGCAGGACGTAAAAGCTTGCGATACCGACAAGGGCGAGCCAGATGTGGGAGATATCCAGAGCCATCATGGCGGTTGTATGGAATGCCAGCGCAGTTATCTGAAGCTGTGTGACGAAATATCGGAGATGGGCAGTGAAGGTGTAGCGACAATATAAATACTATAAGAACCGACAACATATACCCACCCACCCTAATGCATCTGCTTGTAGCGCTGTCGGCCTTGCAGATGGCCGAGGAGGGGAACGGGATGATGAGAAACAACTGGCTCACCAACCACCGATCATGATAGCTGCTGGTCTGGGGCTGAGAGGTGCCACAAATGACATGGAAATATAGCTAGCTTGGAGTCTAGAGCAAGACGATGCATTCGCCAAGAAGAAACTCCGCCTATGAATGCGGGAGAGTTATTCTGGAGGTGAGATTGCCACGTCCAGCCTCCGCATTTGGTCTCTCTGGGGTGATGTGTAGTAGTAGCAATACATTCCATCGGTGTGATGTAACCGTGAACCGCAGCGACACTTGCAACTTATCATGATCCCCTGTAATTTCTCTCCACGCTGAAATGGTGTGGGAGATAGAATATTTCCGGGCCTATAAGGAGCTGTTAGTTACTCGTTACCCAATAACCCCAACTAAGGCGCGGGGTCGCAGCGCTAATGCTGCATCTTTAGCACGTCAGCTATCTGTCTCTTTCAATAGGCTAATGGAGCTACCCATGCAGGCGCTATCACCGTCTGAAGCTACATACCAACTAGTTGGCCGGCTGAAAATACGGGCATGTCTCTTGTCCCAGTAAGTGATCACGCTTCTGATCTGTCTGCGTATCAGTCAAAGCCGAGCTGTACATTCCGGGCATCTTGGTGGGTATTGCGCTACAACCTGTCAGATACTCGCTACAGCCATCGAAACAAAGTGTAAGTGACACGACCAAAGCTTGAAAGACGCTTGATTGATGTTTGGTGATATAAATATAGTTCAATGATATCATGATACCCCGATAGGGGCGGGACAACTGAAAGTACCAGCGATTTGCTAGTACACATGCTTCAGAAACACTTGGCTAGGAACCTTAATGGAATGGGGAATGACCTTGTTCTGAAGCGAACCATGAACTCCCGCCCGAGACACAATCAAGAAACAACCTCATTTCTGTCGCATCCGAAACTGCAGCACAGGGCCCTCCTTTCCAACCGCGAAATGGTCCTTGATCTTGTATTCTCCTTGGTAGCCGACGCCCAACTGCTCCGTCCCCGGTGCCAGTCGTATATCGTACATCCACAATGCCCGGGAGATAGTCAGCTCGAGCTCGAGAATGGCTACATTCCGCCCGATGCACGCTCGCGGTCCGATACTAAAAGGTGCGAAGGCCTGTCGCTGCCGACTGAGCACCTCAGCACTCGCCCCCTCGCCTTGCTCAGTGCCTTTGCTGCCACACAATAGCCACCGACTTGGATCGTACACAAAGGGGCGGTCGAAGTGTTCTTCACTGTGGTGCAACGCGTAGGTGGGAACCGCGACAACCGTGCCAGCTGGGAAATGCCACTCTCCTACTCGGAGCCCTCCAGGGAGCACTTCTCGTGGCAGATCAGTAGGCACAGGCGGGCATACACGCATGGTTTCATCGATACAAGCGTGGAGGTAAGCCATCTGCGACAGATCGGGACCGGCAACGATCGCCTCCAGTGTAGGGAAGACGGTACGAATCTCTGCGCTTAGCCGGGCAAGGAAAGCTGGATTATGAGCAAGGTAGTAGAAGATGGCAGTTAATGTTGTATTCGTAGTGTCGTTACCTGATAGTTCAATCCGTAAGTTCCAGCCAAAGGATAAAGCAGGGCAAAGTCACAGTTGAAACGAGGTTGTGTACATACCGGCTCCTAGCAATGTCATAACCTCTGACATCAACTCCGCCTCAGAATAGCCTTCATTGGTCTTTGGGTCCCGTGCTTGTTGCAGATAGTAGATAATATCTCGACGCTGGGTGGACTCTGCGGCCAGCCGAGTCCGCAATTGCTGCCGGGAGAAACCAATCTGTCGCTGGCGATTGGCGACGGTGCCACGCCGAAGATACTTTTCAAAACCCAGGGAGCGTAGAATAGGCATCTGCCCACAAATGTTCATGATACGGAGGTTCAAGGCCATCAGCGGGAAGAAGAAGTGGTTGGCGTCGCTGACAGAGGTGTTGAATGTCTTGCCGAAGCAGATCTCCCCAAGCGCATCGAAGATCACACAGGAACTCCAGTGCACCATATCCTTGGGCTTTGACCAGCTGCCAGGACTGGAGGGCGCAGATGGCACCTGCTCATCGGGATGCCGATCTATCAAAGCGGCACACCAGTCGCGGATGGCTGACAAGATATGAGGTTCCATCCCACGTAATGCTTGGCTGGAAAAAGCATGAGACATGACACGACGTTTGCGGGCATGCACTGTGCGATCGATGGCAGTGAAGATGCTCACGCCATAAAACATGGTGTACGACTTGGCCTTCTGAACGTTGGCATGGAAGCCATAGATGGGCTCCAACGCCTTTGCATCCAGAATGGAAACGCGCTGCGGGCCGATTCGCACAACGGGCCCATAGCGTTGATGCAGGCGGTATAGGTCCTCATGGCGATCGCCGCGTATGGCGTGAACCACCGAGTAGAGGTTGGTCAGCTTGGCGACAAATGGGCCAGGGTAGGAGGACAGTGGATGGAACCAAACTTGGTAAATGATGTAGCCAGCGAGGGCGATGACTACACACCCCAAGAGATCCATGATGGCTGTACTTGTTAAGTTCTCCCGCTGATCCTGAAAAGACCGTAGCACACTTTCCAGCATTATCGAAAGTCAAAGTGAGTAGATCGCTAAGCGAGGGCGTGTATAGTTGGATGGGCTCAGAGATCATCCTTCTACTCAACTTCATTTAGCATTCACTGGGAGAGCTCAGAACCCAAGATCGATCTTATATGAGAATGCAACCAGAACGAGAGGTGCAAATTGGTCTGTTACCTGCCAACACTCATGTTCCTTCCAAAGTCGACGTTGAAAGCCACGTTAGTCCATAATGGATCCAATTTTACGTTCCCAAAGATGATCATCATTATTACTCCTGTCTTATAGGCGGAACTTGAACTTATCTCAAATATTAGGCTTAGCCGACTAGTTAAGTGGATCCGCGTACAGTATAAACGGAGTTGGTGACAGTCAAAACCGATCCACGTTTTGTCCCCAAGTAAGTTGCTGTGTGACAGCAACAGCATTAGTGCTGAGGGGCTGAACGCGCTTCAGTCGTATTTGCCAACTTTGCAAGGATTATCCTGGAGAGTACCACAGGTCAGGGCATGAGGCAACATGTAGCCTTGCATTAGTACTGTTGGGGCTGTCACTAAGCTGGCTAGCACAAGGTGACTATGCAATTAGCGTCCAGGGTGAGCCGCTAAGCTCGTGCACGGCGCTTAACCAGCGATGAACAGACTTCTCGGGATAACGATAATTCGCAGGTTCGTCTCTGCACCTGTGATTGTTTCGAAGCGAGTTAATTGTACTTTCAGCTTCAGCCACTGACATTTTCATTGTTTTGAAGTCTTATTGGACTCTCAAGGCCACTCGAGGCCGCTCACAATTGTGCAGGGTACCACATCTATAGTTACCTCAAGCACCCGGACACCCTGGCTCCCAATGCATGTCAGGACTATGGCTCACTTGTTGGTTATTCCTTAGACCGAGGGATGGTGTGTGAGGCAGAGCAAATGGCGCCTTCAGAGAGCGGATGGATGCTTGAACACAAAGAGAATTGGTCATGTGGGTGGACCTGCATTTGTTGCAAGATCGTCAAGGTTTTACAACTACATGTTGGCATCATCTTTCATTGCGAATACCGTACGTGGTCTGAGTTATGGTGATGCGACGGGATTGGAGATCATCCGACCATATTGGGATCGATCCGGAGAAGAGGTAAAAATGCCATCTTTGGAGGGGTCTGCAGACAGCTGGAATGAAGTCAGTGGTTGAATTAGATCGGGATAGTGCATTGCCTCAGACAAGGCTGGAGATTTGCCGGTGAATATAAAATGATAAGGCGGATAAGTCTGTCCCTCCACATTGCAGGGCCAGGCTACTCGGCTGATCCATACAAAACCCACGGCTACCGACAAGAATTTTCCAAAATAAAAGAAATAGGATTGAAGAGAACACATGAAGACATAGCTAGAAGACATCACTATTGACAGACCCACCAAACATGTCGTGGGACGGAACATAAGAATCATGGTGATGCGTACATAATACATCACTGGTCGCACGCGCTTCATTCGCCAGTGCCATTATTCGGCTGCAATCGCACGCCGTCATACCTCGGCTTCGCGTCTCAAGAGACCAACTGACCTTTCAGCCAGTTGTCCCCTCCCGAGCACCCGTTTACCGGGTATCGGTCTTTAAGTATAGGCCAAATTCACTAAGGACATCTGCCCGGAGTCCACCTAACAGATCCTGTCATGTTGGGACTCGGGTGTTCACGGTCGATACTGGGATAGGTTTCTGTCCGGTCCTGGATAACGCATAATCGGGGCAACAGCCTGCCCAAGGAGCTGTGGGAATTGGCCAGCGAAAGAAGTATCTCGTGGAGGTCGCCCCCGTCATTTAACCTAGAAGTTCAACATCGAGGCCAATAGCCCGCATGAAGAGGTTGACGTTGCCAAGACGCGCGCTGGCCATATCGGCAGGAAGCGTCTTGCTGTAAGTCACGGTCTCCATCACCCGGTCCCTGTAGAACAGTTAATACGATGTAAACCATGTAGACGAGGGGGTTGAACTTACTTGACCGCAATAACAAGGCGTTGCTGTTGTTCGGGGCTAGCTCCGATACCAACGGCAGCCAAGAACTGCCAAACATACATGTCGTCGCCAGCATTGATCGCGCTGGGGAAGATATCCGCAAAGGTAGGTTCAAGGGTGTCAAACAACACATTGAACTTCTCAACCCACTGCTGCCAGTCCCGCTCCGTAGCCTGTCCAGCTTCCTTCACAATTTCGGCGCGACTGAGAAGCATGGTCAAGATTCCAAGTCCAATGCGGGTCCTCGAGATCATCTGGACATGCGTCTGCGCAATGACAAGCCCCAGCAACCCGATGATGATATTGAATGGCGCCTCGTTGACGTATCCCAGAAGACTGGGCATGACGGCCTGGGAGAAAAGCTCGATGGCTTCCCGAACGGCCAGAGAGGGCTGAGTCTCACCCGGAACAGGCTGGGCGCGTCGGACAACGTCCAGAGAATCCAAGTGTACAACAATCATAGTAAGAATAGTAACGCGCTGCTCCTGATCAATGTGGCGGAAAATGCGGGGAATGGCCTTCTTGCCCTTGGGATAAGCAAGGAAGGCAATGAACGGGTGGGGTGTGTTGGTGTTGGGAACAATGGGTTCCATGACCTTAAGATTGCGCCACAGCTTCTGGTTGAGCGAACGGATCTTCTGTCTCCATTCCATGTGCTTCTGAATGGCCTCGGGATCATTCTCATCCGGCGGGGGAGGCATCGTGCGCTCCATGTCTTCCATATCCATAAGCGTGCTGTATACACTCTCCAGATTGGTCAGGACTGATTTGCGATCGCTAACGCTCAAATCGGTGTGCGGCTTCTTCACCGTCTTGGCGCCCTCCGAGCTCTCCGGACGCTTGATGTTGAGCATGGGCTTTGGCGTCTTAGCGTTGCTGAAAGAGATCTTACCCAAGCTGCCCTCGATGATAAGCTGCTTATTCTTAGGCTTCTGCTTAGCAGCCTCCACCGCACGCTGGACCTGCTGCTGCATTCTCTGCATGTGGTTGTCGGCGCTCTGGAACTGCCGGCGAGAGCCATGCCCCCCGAGCCTGTTGCCTGTCTGGAGAAGGTATGTCTGCGCAAAGTGACCAAGAGGTTGGTGCGGATGTTGCCGCGGCGCACCCCGGATCTGGCTGTAGACCTGATAATAGAAGTCCTCTGCCAAGACAGCTTCTGCATCAGAGTCCGCCACGTTACCAGCAGCAGCGACTAGTTGCTGAAGCTGGATCCGGGTGATGAAGTTCTTGTCCTGCGGGGTCATCAGTCCGTTACCCCTGGACAGAAGGAAGATCTTGTGGTTGCGCTTCGCCCGCTTGGCATCTTCCATCAAGTACGCTACGCGCTGCTCCTCCGTCAGGTGCATCAACTGCTGGGAGTTGGTGATCACGGGCAGTTGCGCGTTGTTACCACGGGAAGCTTGGGGCAGGGGCGGTTGCTGCTGCTGGGGTCGCTGAGCCGCCGGTGGCATCGCCTGACGTTGGGGAGGCACCATGTGCTGAGGAGGCAAGTTGGCATTTTGCAGCATATGAATCGGCAGGTTTGGAGGGAGCGGGTACGGCTCCGGAACCATGGGTGGCTGGTGCTGCAACAGTGCCGGTGGGACACCCTTGGCGAACTGGGCCTGTAGAATCTCAGGCGGCAGCTGCGGGAAGCCTTCGGGCAGAGGGGGCATCTGAGCTCGCTGGAGAGGCTGAGTGGGCTCTGGCATCGACTGCGGAAGGGACAGCGGGATTTGGGCGGGGAGCGAAGATGGACCCTGTCTCCGCAGTTGCGCTTCCACCTCCTCGAGACTCAGCATCTTCTTTGCTTGCGCTACCATCTGGGGCGTGGGCTGCTGCAGCTGCTGCAGCTGTTGCTGGAAATGCTGTTCCGGCTTCTTCGACATGCCCCAGACGCTAGACTTGGCCTGAAGATCGGGGATGTAACCCGGGTCGTTGTACTTCTCATAGCCAGACCGTTTGGGCTTCTGGTCCGCAGTGTCTGGCAGAGAAGTATCGGCCGTGGGTTGCGAAGGAGCGGTCGCAGGCGCACCGGGTTTCTGAAGGCTGTAACGGATCTGCTCCTCTCCGATCACATCGGCGACCTGAGCAGTCTTTCCAAAGAAGTCGAAATCCTTTCCAACCGGGCCAGTGTCGAAGCCGCCACCAAACGTGTCATCGTTGAACGCATCCTGGTCATCGTCCAGTTGGTCTCCCAGGCCATCGTACGTATCCTCAAAGTCGATGCTATAGCAATTGAAAGAAAGCGCCGCTGGTCAGCTCCATGGCCCCCGTTGTCTCAATTGATCTAAGTGAAGCAGAGTGGGAGAGACTTACACGTCGTCATCCTTGTCGTCTCGGAAGTTTGCTGCCAGTCTGGCGCGGGCAACTTCGGCGAACGGATCAGGGGTGTCGAAGATACCCCTCTGTTCACCCGCAGGAGCTCGATCCCTAGGCAGGGTGGTATTAAAGCCGAAGAAGGACATCTTCGGGGGAAGCGGGGGGTGGTGGGGGGGGAGGCAGTGGGTGTAGGAAGAGGGCGAGAATTACCACCGCGGCATAAATGGGTAGTGCGGGATGAGGTTCACAGCCGGTCTGATATCACCCGCTTTAGCTTAGTCCGCTGTGGCCTGAAAGCCTAAGGCAGTAAGACATTAAGGCATCAAGGCATTTAATTAGCCACCGCATCACGGGGAAGCGGTTGCCCCTTAGTCATCAAGTCTCCTGTTGTCTCCGTTGGACTCGGAGTGGCTACAGGTCGCGTGACCCTACGGGAAGGGTCGCGTGATCCTTACCCTTTACACGTGATCAAAACAAGCATTAGTCATCAATAACAAGTCGCATGATCTTTATAATTACTGTATCTTCCCGCTGAATTTCAACTTTTCTTTTAATTCATAATTTACAGTCTAACGGCAAGTAATTACTAAGTACTTACTAAGTACTCGAATATTATGGATTTCGAAGAGCTTCTATATATGAATTCTGATGGAGGATTTGATATACAAGAACTAGAGGTATTTAAGTACTTAATAACTACTTATCTAGAACTTGAAAACTAATTAAATTTATATAGGATA